CCCCAACCCTTACCCTGGAGAAAAAATAAAACACTGTCTCCCAAATCTGCCCACACGTGTCCATGGGACACGTGTTTGTTGGGGGGACTAGTTGCCCACTGACACCCCCACCTCCTCTCTGTGCCCCACGGAGCCGTGCCCATAGCCCCTACCTGCCCCATGGTGCAAACGTTCACTTACAGCCTGGCTTTGTTTAGGGCACTGGCTTTAGGGACTGGCAAGAGGACACAGGGCCCTTCCTTCCCTTATGCTCCCTGGGGATCGGAGAGGCTTGGACACTTGGATCTGGATGGGCTCAGATGGACTCCTTTGGGGTCATTTTGGGATTGGTAGGGTGAGGGGCTTCCGGATCAGCCCAGGTGGCGGGGCTCAGGGTCATGTGGAAAAGGGCGGGCAGATATCTGGTTTCTGCACACCAGATGCACACACTGGTAGGAGATGGTGGAGCACTAGAAGCCCTAGACATTTCTACTAAAGGTTATTTAGGACGGAAGGAGAAACCTCCACTCCCACTCCCCCGCCCTTTGCCGGCCTAGATTCTTCTCTTGCCTAACTGGTCAGTGTTCCTGTCCAGGCTGGGGCCAAGCCGTCCAGGGTAGCAGCGAGGCCCTGGCAGGGGGCAGAGCGAAGGGCTAATTCCAGGCACACTACTGAGATGAGCCTGCAGAGAAAGGAAAGGGAGATTTGGATTCCAAATAAATGGTTAGTACCCAGTGAGGGGCGGTTGGCCTAGCAGCACCCAGGAATGAGCTTTCCAAGGTGACCGCGTCCCCCTGTTGCTCCCACAGGCCGAGCCCAGGGCTGTCCCTCCTTCAACCCAGATACCGCCATTCTTCATAGAAGGGGTGCCTCCTGGGTGGCCCCTCTGCACACACCCCCTCCTCAGAACCTTGAAAGGGCAAAGAGAAAGGAACTGTGGGAAAAGCCCTCCAGTGGGTGTCTGCCAGCCTGGAGTCTGGGTTTGAGGTGGTGGGAGAAGGGAGGGGCTGGCTCTGGAATGTGGGCGAGAGGTCAGAACTGAACCATGGGGCCTGGAGAAAGAGGCTGGAGGAGCAGGGCTTTTGAGAAAGGAATTAGGACTTCCGGCCTGTAAAAAAATATGCCACGGGAAGGGTGTATGACCTCACTGTGGGATGGCAAGAAGACCTGTGGAGACCGTTGAGGTGCAGCAGGAATGACTCAGGTTAGATTTCAGTTAGTACTTCCCATCAAAGGGAAACCTTGACAGTATGATGGCCAGCCCATCAGGCAAAGGCCAGAGAGGCGCTGGGATGCTCAGTGGGTCGGGCACCATGGTTCTGCCTGTCAGGAGACCTCCCACGGAAGGATGGTGCCACTCCACACTGTCCCAGGCTCCCCTTCTGCTCTGGGCCTCGGGGGCATAAGCACAGTAGATATGAGCATATTCTTGTTGGCCGGACTGCCTCAGTTTCTATGTAGCTGATGGAGTCCCCCATCTTTACCATGGGACCCCTAATGGTTGTGAGGATTGAAGGAGTCAGCATGTTTTGTAAAGGGTCTAGAATGGTCCTTCGCATGTAAACAAACAAGCCCTACAAATCAAGCCCATTGCCAAGGAGTGGACCCGACACACAGCAACCCAATAGGACAGAGTAGCACCGTCCCAGGGGGTCCCCAAGACGGTAAGCTTCACGGAAGCAGACTGCCACAACTCTTCTCCCCCAGCTAGTGGGCTTGAACTGCCAAGCTTTTGGGGTTAGCAGCTGAGCGCTTTAACCCCTGTGCTACCAGGGCTCCTGAGCACATAACGTAGGAGGCCCCGTTGAACTGCTTGCTGTGCGCATTTGTTTCTCCACCTTCTCTGGCTGCCTCTGCTCTGCCGTCTGAACAGGATGCAGGGCCTGGTCGTCCCAGCCCTGTATGGCGCAGGTTGCCGAGGTTCTGGCCGGGGTCTCCATCCTCCTCCTCTTCCCCATTGGGCAGAGCACTCTTCCAGAGTTTGGCAGGTGGGAGAATTGTAAAGAATTGAAGCCTGAGGTTCCGGTCCACATTCTGATAGGTCGCCACCTCCTCAGACTGGGTTCCCTCAGGGAACCTTCTTTCTGTGAGTTTGTTTTTTTAAAACCAGGCAGGTGCTCCATCTTCATTTCCAACTGTGGACCGAGCTAGATACCTTAGATGGCCTGGAACAGTCTTTCCCCATACTCTTTCAGCCAGCATCAGCGCCTCTCTTCAGCCACCGCCCTGCTTGTCTCTCTTCCTCTCTTGGTCCTTTCTGTTTCTCTCTCTGCTCAGCTTTCCCCCTCCCAACTCTTCTCAGGCCTCTTCTCCCTCTGTGCTCTGACCAGCCTGTCCACCTCACCGGTCTGGGTGCCTTCTGAATAGACTCTGGCCTCGCTCGTGCCTCGAGCCCTTCACGTGTTCCCAGCACAGAATAGCCATCCAAGCTGCTTCCACTCTATCCTGTCCCTTACTTTCCCAGACACTCACGTAGACATCAGATGAAAACCTCCCCAAACTCCAAGAGGCATTATACCTTTAATATAATGTACCCCATTAACTGGGATGGTCCCCTTCACACGCTGTTCCACGGAGTGTGTTCACCCACAGTCTTTAAGCCATATCCCTCCCCATCTGAACCCCACACAAGCTGTTCTACATCCCATCCTGCTATTAGTCACCACCCCTTATCTCCCTAATTGGTCTGTCATTTGTAACCCTGTCCCCTCAGTATCATGCCTGCCCCCCATGTCCATGATTTTGCCTGGGATTCATTGATGGCTTTGGAGTGGACAGCCTGTCTTTCCCATTGGACCCGCGAAGCCTCTGAGCTAAGGCCTGCTACCCCACCAGACCGAGGACACCGTGAGCCAAAGTATCTTTTCTTGCCTTGGACCCCTTGGTACCCAGCCAAGGGCTTGGCTTCTAGGACAGGGAGTTAGTGATTAGCCAGTTTGATTCTAGAGGAAAACTTTCAGATGGCTGAAAGGAAGACTCCTTGCGTGTTGAGGTTTATGTAAGCTTCTCTGGAATGAGGTGTTAATGTTGACATTACTACTAACTCGCTAGGGAAGCTCAGGGGAAGTCCCTTTCCCACCAACTGCACCATCCTGTAGAGATGGCCCCGCACTCATCCCAACCTCAAGCAGCAGTGCGTGCCCAGGCCATCCTGGCCGCCTCCCCACAGAGCCTCTGTTGTCTTCTGCGGTGGGTCTGACTCCAGTGATGCCAGGCTGCTCAGGGCGACTCTGGAGTGGAAAGGAGGCAAGGGTAGAGTCCAGTCCCACTGCCTGAAGCACACCTCTAGGCAGCGGC